GGGTGGGGGAATGAGAGTGGTGATGGGTATTACTAAGGCTGTGTTCTGTGTGTAAGGGTGGGGGGATGAGAGTGGTGATGGGTATTACTAAGGCTGTGTTCTGTGTGTAAGGGTGGGGGGATGAGAGTGGTGATGGGTATTACTAAGGCTGTGTTCTGTGTGTAAGGGTGGGGGGATGAGAGTGGTGATGGGTATTACTAAGGCTGTGTTCTGTGTGTAAGGGTGGGGGGATGAGAGTGGTGATGGGTATTACTAAGGCTGTGTTCTGTGTGTAAGGGTGGGGGGATGAGAGTGGTGATGGGTATTACTAAGGCTGTGTTCTGTGTGTAAGGGTGGGGGGATGAGAGTGGTGATGGGTATTACTAAGGCTGTGTTCTGTGTGTAAGGGTGGGGGGATGAGAGTGGTGATGGGTATTACTAAGGCTGTGTTCTGTGTGTAAGGGTGGGGGGATGAGAGTGGTGATGGGTATTACTAAGGCTGTGTTCTGTGTGTAAGGGTGGGGGGATGAGAGTGGTGATGGGTATTACTAAGGCTGTGTTCTGTGTGTAAGGGTGGGGGGATGAGAGTGGTGATGGGTATTACTAAGGCTGTGTTCTGTGTGTAAGGGTGGGGGGATGAGAGTGGTGATGGGTATTACTAAGGCTGTGTTCTGTGTGTAAGGGTGGGGGGATGAGAGTGGTGATGGGTATTACTAAGGCTGTGTTCTGTGTGTAAGGGTGGGGGGATGAGAGTGGTGATGGGTATTACTAAGGCTGTGTTCTGTGTGTAAGGGTGGGGGGATGAGAGTGGTGATGGGTATTACTAAGGCTGTGTTCTGTGTGTAAGGGTGGGGGGATGAGAGTGGTGATGGGTATTACTAAGGCTGTGTTCTGTGTGTAAGGGTGGGGGGATGAGAGTGGTGATGGGTATTACTAAGGCTGTGTTCTGTGTGTAAGGGTGGGGGGATGAGAGTGGTGATGGGTATTACTAAGGCTGTGTTCTGTGTGTAAGGGTGGGGGGATGAGAGTGGTGATGGGTATTACTAAGGCTGTGTTCTGTGTGTAAGGGTGGGGGGATGAGAGTGGTGATGGGTATTACTAAGGCTGTGTTCTGTGTGTAAGGGTGGGGGGATGAGAGTGGTGATGGGTATTACTAAGGCTGTGTTCTGTTTGTAAGGGTGGGGGATGAGAGTGGTGATGGGTATTACTAAGGCTGTGTTCTGTGTGTAAGGGTGGGGGGATGAGAGTGGTGATGGGTATTACTAAGGCTGTGTTCTGTGTGTAAGGTCGGGGGGATGAGAGTGGTGATGGGTATTACTAAGGCTGTGTTCTGTGTGTAAGGGTGGGGGGATGAGAGTGGTGATGGGTATTACTAAGGCTGTGTTTTGTGTGCAGGGGTGGGGGGATGAGAGTGGTGATGGGTATTACTAAGGCTGTGTTCTGTGTGTAAGGGTGGGGGGATGAGAGTGGTGATGGGTATTACTAAGGCTGTGTTCTGTGTGTAAGGGTGGGGGATGAGAGTGGTGATGGGTATTACTAAGGCTGTGTTCTGTGTGCAGGGGTGGGGGGATGAGAGTGGTGATGGGTATGACTAAGGCTGTGTTCTGTGTGTAAGGGTGGGGGGATGAGAGTGGTGATGGGTATTACTAAGGCTGTGTTCTGTGTGTAAGGGTGGGGGAATGAGAGTGGTGATGGGTATTACTAAGGCTGTGTTCTGTGTGTAAGGGTGGGGGGATGAGAGTGGTGATGGGTATTACTAAGGCTGTGTTCTGTGTGTAAGGGTGGGGGGATGAGAGTGGTGATGGGTATTACTAAGGCTGTGTTCTGTGTGTAAGGGTGGGGGGATGAGAGTGGTGATGGGTATTACTAAGGCTGTGTTCTGTGTGTAAGGGTGGGGGGATGAGAGTGGTGATGGGTATTACTAAGGCTGTGTTCTGTGTGTAAGGGTGGGGGGATGAGAGTGGTGATGGGTATTACTAAGGCTGTGTTCTGTGTGTAAGGGTGGGGGGATGAGAGTGGTGATGGGTATTACTAAGGCTTTGTTCTGTGTGTAAGGGTGGGGGGATGAGAGTGGTGATGGGTATTACTAAGGCTGTGTTCTGTGTGTAAGGGTGGGGGGATGAGAGTGGTGATGGGTATTACTAAGGCTGTGTTCTGTGTGTAAGGGTGGGGGGATGAGAGTGGTGATGGGTATTACTAAGGCTGTGTTCTGTGTGTAAGGGTGGGGGGATGAGAGTGGTGATGGGTATTACTAAGGCTGTGTTCTGTGTGTAAGGGTGGGGGGATGAGAGTGGTGATGGGTATTACTAAGGCTGTGTTCTGTGTGTAAGGGTGGGGGGATGAGAGTGGTGATGGGTATTACTAAGGCTGTGTTCTGTGTGTAAGGGTGGGGGGATGAGAGTGGTGATGGGTATTACTAAGGATGTGTTCTGTGTGTAAGGGTGGGGGGATGAGAGTGGTGATGGGTATTACTAAGGCTGTGTTCTGTGTGTAAGGGTGGGGGGATGAGAGTGGTGATGGGTATTACTAAGGCTGTGTTCTGTGTGTAAGGGTGGATGGATGAGAGTGGTGATGGGTATTACTAAGGCTGTGTTCTGTGTGTAAGGGTGGGGGGATGAGAGTGGTGATGGGTATTACTAAGGCTGTGTTCTGTGTGTAAGGGTGGGGGGATGAGAGTGGTGATGGGTATTACTAAGGCTGTGTTCTGTGTGTAAGGGTGGGGGGATGAGAGTGGTGATGGGTATTACTAAGGCTGTGTTCTGTGTGTAAGGGTGGGGGGATGACAGTGGTGATGGGTATTACTAAGGCTGTGTTCTGTGTGTAAGGGTGGGGGGATGAGAGTGGTGATGGGTATTACTAAGGCTGTGTTCTGTGTGTAAGGGTGGGGGGATGAGAGTGGTGATGGGTATTACTAAGGCTGTGTTCTGTGTGTAAGGGTGGGGGGATGAGAGTGGTGATGGGTATTACTAAGGCTGTGTTCTGTGTGTAAGGGTGGGGGGATGACAGTGGTGATGGGTATTACTAAGGCTGTGTTCTGTGTGTAAGGGTGGGGGGATGAGAGTGGTGATGGGTATTACTAAGGCTGTGTTCTGTGTGTAAGGGTGGGGGGATGAGAGTGGTGATGGGTATTACTAAGGCTGTGTTCTGTGTGTAAGGGTGGGGGGATGAGAGTGGTGATGGGTATTACTAAGGCTGTGTTCTGTGTGTAAGGGTGGGGGGATGAGAGTGGTGATGGGTATTACTAAGGCTGTGTTCTGTGTGTAAGGGTGGTAGGATGAGAGTGGTGATGGGTATTACTAAGGCTGTGTTCTGTGTGTAAGGGTGGGGGGATGAGAATGGTGATGGGTATTACTAAGGGGCCGTCCGTAAATATCGAACCTTTTTCACCAAACGAATTATTTTTGTTTAGACCCAACCCCTCCCACCCTCCCCCTCAGAACGTAAAAAAATGTTGACATATACATGCATATACAACAAAGTCGCAAGTGTGTCACTGCTCCTATGGCCATGTACATGTATCGAACTTTTCTGAAATGAAATTGGTCAACCCCCTCCCACCCCATAACGAAATTATTTCGTTTCGTGAAAAAAGTTCGATAATTATGGACGACCCCTAAGGCTGTGTTCTGTGTATAAGGGTGGGGGGATGAGAGTGGTGATGGGTATTACTAAGGCTGTGTTCTGTGTGTAAGGGTGGGGGGATGAGAGTGGTGATGGGTATTACTAAGGCTGTGTTCTGTGTGTAAGGGTGGGGGGATGAGAGTGGTGATGGGTATTACTAAGGCTGTGTTCTGTGTGTAAGGGTGGGGGGATGAGAGTGGTGATGGGTATTACTAAGGCTGTGTTCTGTGTGTAAGGGTGGTAGGATGAGAGTGGTGATGGGTATTACTAAGGCTGTGTTCTGTGTGTAAGGGTGGGGGGATGAGAATGGTGATGGGTATTACTAAGGGGCCGTCCGTAAATATCGAACCTTTTTCACCAAACGAATTATTTTTGTTTAGACCCAACCCCTCCCACCCTCCCCCTCAGAACGTAAAAAATTGTTGACATATACATGCATATACAACAAAGTCGCAAGTGTGTCACTGCTCCTATGGCCATGTACATGTATCGAACTTTTCTGAAATGAAATTGGTCAACCCCCTCCCACCCCATAACGAAATTATTTCGTTTCGTGAAAAAAGTTCGATAATTATGGACGACCCCTAAGGCTGTGTTCTGTGTATAAGGGTGGGGGGATGAGAGTGGTGATGGGTATTACTAAGGCTGTGTTCTGTGTGTAAGGGTGGGGGGATGAGAGTGGTGATGGGTATTACTAAGGCTGTGTTCTGTGTGTAAGGGTGGGGGGATGAGAGTGGTGATGGGTATTACTAAGGCTGTGTTCTGTGTGTAAAGGGCAAAGGACCTGTACGTTACTAGTTATGGTCCATTCTCTCTTGACATATTTATTACTAGTGGCTCGACACCCAGGTTTTTATTGTGTGCATGTGTTTGTGTTGATGTGTTTTTTGTGTGTGTGTGTGCAAGCGCGCACGGGCGGGCGCTTGCTCGGGAGTGTATGTCATGCGCGGGTTGGTGTTAGATCCATGCTCACTTGTATGGATATAGTACATTCTGAGCATGTCTGGGTTCGAGGAAACATGATGCTCTTCAATGGTATGCTCAAGAACATCACCGTGCTATTAGGGGTCGCCCATAAATATCGAACTTTTTTCACAAAACGAAATAATTTTCGTTATGGGGTGGGAGGGGGTTGACCAATTTCGTTTCAGTAAACATTGATCCATGTACATGGCCGTTGTATATGCATGTATGTCAACATTTTTTTACGTTCTGAGGGGGAGGGAGGGAGGGGTTGGGTCTAAACTAAAATAATTCGTTTAGTGAAAAAAGTTCGATAAAAATACGGACGGCCCCTTACAACATGGGACAAGACAGCATGCATTTGTATAACCAAGAGTCACAGAGTACCGAGGTTATGTACATGTACACTCGATTGTGCCACCAAGTGAGCAACTCACCATTTCCACGCTGTTATCTTTAGGATAGAAGAGGAAGTTGTAGCGTCGCACTATGACCGCTAGCGAATCATACCACTCCACGAGGAAAGCGAAGCGTTCACCTTCCATATTACACGGTGAACTGCTGACGACTGGAACAAAGCGTCGGCAAGAATGCCGCAATGGTCTGGTGTGGAGTGTAACTACTCACGATACACAGTGACACAGCTACGTCGTTCCAAGCTCTGGGTAACAGATAATAGGAATTACAGCAGCAGCGCTAGCAGCAGCAGCAGCAGCAGGTGCTGCCTGGTAGATTGGGAAGCAATCACTACCCGGTACCCGTCCTCCAATCCACTACACCCACACGTGACCACACCCGAAAACGACCTGCAGTACAGACCAGTAGTCAGTAGTCGACTGCAAACTATCCACTCATGGGTTTTCCGTTGCTGGCGTTAGCTTGAAAACTACAACAAGCAGCCCAAGGACTGCCACACTCGAACCTGGCCTGAGCGCAAGGATTGCCGCACTGGAACCTGGCCTGAGCGCAAGAATTGCCACACTGGAACCTGGCCTGAGCGCAAGGATTGCCACAGTCGAACCTGGCCTGAGCGCAAGGATTGCCACACTGGGACCTGGCCTGAGCGCAAGGATTGCCACACTGGAACCTGGCCTGAGCGATATGAACACCATGTACCACTGAGTGTTCTATAGAAACTCTGAATATTCCCGGAGCAAATGTCTCAATGATTAGGACACCGAGGCAACTATTATACTTGTTCTCTTCACCGTCTTTCAAACATTCGATTATGACCATGGCACGCGTATGATTGCTGTACTAGTTCTGTCACCAAGCAGATTCAAAATGTTTGGCCTCAACGCACCACTCCACGAGTAGACTACATCATACATGACCGCTGGGCGCTGGCTAGTCTAGCCTACTACATGTAGTACTAGTACAACTACTAGTACTACTACATGTAGTACTGCCTAGTCTACACAGACCACAGGAGTCTACAGCATCGCGTGCACCCTAGCGCCGAGTTGTACGTTGTATACATGGTATAGTGGCGCATAGCGATGTGTCTGTCACTGTCAAGCGGTCACATCATGCACTCACATCAACTAACTAAACGCCTTGAAGTATAGGGCTTGAAAGTGATGACGTCAAAAACGGCCAGGGAGTACTAAGTTGACATCAGATTTCTATTTTGGATCCACTAAGGTGTGACTTTGCTATTGCCTCAGTATGTAGGTGCATAGCATCCCACTCATGTCGTATGCAGGTGTGACTTTTATTTCGCCACCAGTTGTAACCCCGCCCCCAGTAGCCGAATCAGTCAGTTTCACTGGTAACATCACCTCCTTGCCGAGAGTAAGACGGCTTGAAATGTGCTTGGATCCATACAAAAACTGGATCCAATTGGATCCAATTTTTGAATTTTTGAAATTGTTGCTATGCTGTGACGTAGCACTTTCAAGCCCTATTGCGGGTTACGTACTTACTTGATCAGTTGGTCCCCATGGTCACACCGAAACATACACATGTGTACAAGTCATGTGCAAGCGAACACACAACACTAGTACTACTACTAGTACATGTAGTAGTAGTCAACACACAACACTAGTAGTAGTACTAGTAGTAGTAGTACTAGTACTAGTACTAGTACTAGTCAACACACAACAAACACACACGTTTCCAATGGTAACTGTTCACAAGCAGCGGTGAGCGATTTCGCTTGTACTACCGGTACCGCCGGTATACCTGGTATACTGCAGTACTACTACTAGTAGTAATACGTATCTAATATTGACTGAGTACGAGGTCAATATAGGAAATAAAAGCCGAGTAAAAGACCGAGGCGAAGCCGAGGTCTTTTACGAGGTTTTTATTTCCTATACTGACCAAGTACGAAGTCAATATTAGATTTATCACGACAAACAGTCCGTATTTCAAATTCCAAAACGATAACCTCGTGAATCCCGGTTTTATGATTGCACAACCGTTGCACCACCACCTACTCATACAGTGACAATGCTGCAGTAGGCACCGCGTACCGGTCCGTTCAACTGCGCGACCCCTAAGCAGTCAAATATAAGCAGTCAATACAGCCCTAAGGAGTGAAATATGCAGGAATATTTGACTGCTTAGGTATGGCAAAAATCTATGTGAGTCAATACTAAGGGAGTGATAAAATGTAGTAGTAATACTAGTACTACACTAGTCTACACTACAGTAGACTCGTACGCCCAAGAACGTCCAGGCTGGAAATCTAAGAACGCCCCAGCCTGGATCTAAGAACGAACTCCAAGATTTTTAAGAACGCGACATTTTCTTGTCAGAGTACACGAAAAACAAGTCCTGTAGTGTGTGTACTGTCTGTAGACAAAGAACAGTTGATGGAACTGGATCCACTGCCCGTCGTCAAGTGCTTTTACGACCCCCTGGTCTGCACCAGGGAGTCCTACACCGGGGTAACCCGGGTATATACGACTCACTGGTCTGCACCGATATTGTGCTACTGCTAGCAATGGTGCGTTCAGTTTCCCGGTTCAGATGCCTGGTCTGATGTCTGGTCCACGCCAGACAGATTTTTCGGCCTCGTGGGAAATCCTCAACGGCTCAAGATCGGGGCGATAATAATTGCCTGCATGCAATACTGTGGACTGTGTTGGAGTGCAAGTTTTCGACAAATCTGGGCCGAGTTTCTTGTACGAATGGTCAGCCAAGTACAAGTATCGACTGGTCGATATTTGGCAGAAAAGTCGGCTAATTATTTTTAGTGCTAGCACGTGGTTGAGAGGGCCTCCAACCGCTTTTCACCATGACAGACCGTGAACTTGCTGCACTGCACTGGGTGGCTAGCCTGTTCACGCCTTTGGCCATGGCTGTAGCTCGTGTTTAGGCCGCGGTCTCACCACTCTTTATTTTGGAGGATGACCCCTGTGACCCCTGTGCCCACTTGGGCCCCGTCGTGGATGGAAGGAGAAGTAGGGATCTGGAAAAGAGCTAGAAAGAGAGAGGAGTAGAGAGAGAGAAGAGCGATTTATCACAATGGATTGAGAATGGATTCGGAAACGAAGAGCCGCATCGCTATCTGTATTTTATTATGTACAATGGTGATGATTTAAACAATCGACGAGGAGACAATAGTCGTAAAATGGCAATAAATTAGATAAATTGTGCACTCATAACAACAGCAAAAAATGACGAAAGTCAAGTTCCATAACGTTTTCTTGTGACTGTCATCAGTGGAACGCCGTCACATAAAAATGTAATAACTAAAACACACACTTATATACATGTAGCTAACATGGTTTCAGGTAGAAATACAGCAGCCAGCAAGTACAAAAAGCGAAGTTTGCAACTTTGCAAAGAAAACGTTTAATCACTCACACGCACCATTACATTCATTCACACAGTATCACATTCATCTGCCACTACATTTCTCACATACACTATATTCACACATTTGCAAAGGTGCAAACTTCGCTTTTTGTACTTGCTGGCTGCTGTATTTCTACCTGAAACCATATTAGCTACATGTAATTATAAGTGTGTGTTTTAGTTATTACATTTTTATGTGACGGCGTTCCACTGATGACAGTCACAAGAAAACGTTATGGAACTTGACTTTCTTCATTTTTGCTGTTGTTATGAGTACACAATTTATATTTTTTAATGGTGATGATCCGAATAATTTCCCCTGAGAATCACCTCACTTTGCCGATGGTGACAAATACCAGGCTTTGTCGCCGGAGGAAGCGAGACGTTTACGACTTTGTTGATGAAGACGATACTGAGGAGGATCTGCTGGCAATCTTGCCCTTGACAATGTTTGGCAGGAGAAAACGGCGTTTTTGGTGCGCCCTTCGCAGTCCCGGTGCCTGGAACGATGACGTTATCCAGCACTGGGCCATGGGCACATGTATTGAGTGGGATGTCTCTGACTGGGAGAACGAGCAGTATCGCCCCCGGCACCGGCTTCATTCGCAGCAAACTTTTGCGAAGATCCAGGCTCGTTTGCTCGAATCCTTTTTCATTGTCGTCTGATATTGCGTTTTTGCTTCGTACCGCAGCTCGAGCAATGGCGCTCCATTACCATGCTCCAACTATCCATGGCTGACAACGAAAACCTTAAAAAAAACACTTCACACAACTACAATACAAGAGAAGAAGAAACTACCTGACTACAACAAACGTCAACTCAAGTTCTTCAACTCCTCTTGCACTCTTGCACTTCAGCCAAAATTATTCAGCCACTTTCAGCTTTTCAGCGCTTCCAAAACTTGGCAAAAGGGCTGAAAGCTGAAAGTGGCTGGTGCCCCGATTTTCAGCCGTTTCCGTGGAAACCTCAGCCAAAAAAAAGGGCTTTTTTTGGCTGAATTCTGAATCGGGCTCGGTGTGACCGCGGCCTTTATGAGCTCAGCTGTCTCATTTCCGCTGTCAGACTACAACGCGACTTGCATGGCAAAGGCGAAGGGGAGTCGAACCATCGCTGTTGGTGACGGCCTGACGGCAAGGCAGTGATAGTATACTTCGACTTAGTTCAGTGAGGACTGAGGGCAAATTCACGTAAAGCCGTGAGATCCGTAGATCCACTATTTCATGTGTAGATCTACACGACTACAGACAGTATTACTATTAGTAGTGGGATCTACACGACTCCCTGATCATGACAATCATGACTCATGAGTGATCTACACTACATGTAGAGATCTACAGTAACAGGATCACTAAACCATGGGCATGGTCCATGGAAAACAAAGTCAATATGAATGAGTCATAATTATTTATCTGTCTGTCGTCGGGTAGTACTTCAGCAACCGTGTTGACCAGGCGTAAAAGCCCTTTACGATTCCCTGGTTTAGACGTAGATCTACTAGTACTAGTAGTAGTAGTCTGGTAGTAGGTGTCGCACTTCACGATCGATCGTCCTTCGTCCATTACTTTGTTTTCGTCTCTTTCAAGACTTTGTCCCTGGTCGCTTACAATTATTCTATAGTGAGTGGTCGGCGGTACGCGAGTTGCTGGAATGGCCGCTGAGGAGAATGCGGTGTTCACCGCTTTGGGCTTGAACCAGGCTGAAGTGCCCTATCTGGGTACATTGGACGTGAATGAAACAGAGGATGAGTTGGGTCGAGGCTCATTTGCTGTGGTGTACAAGTCTAAATGGTGTGGATTGAAGGTGGCCGCAAAGGCACTTCATTCTATCCTGATTGATGGAAGAAACCAAGGACGCGACGTCGTATTGCATGATTTTGGAGCAGAGATTGCACGCATGGCACGTCTTCGCCACCCGCATCTGTGTCCTATTTTCGGCGTGGGCATGGTCGGAACAACTCCAGCCATTGTGGTGGAATTGATGTCCGACACACTGGAAACAATGAGCGTTGGTGCACGCAGACAGGACTTGCTTCAGCTGATGCGCTACATCGAACACACTGCTGCTGGTCTTCGCTACTTGCACTCCATCCCGATGGTGCATCGCGACCTGAAGCCAAGCAATGTCCTCGTTGCCAATGGTGTGGCCAAAATCACGGATTTCGGCGTCTCCAAGCTACTGCCTAGCGTTGCCGATCAGTTCCGTGAAGCCGCTCAGTCCATGACCCGACAGCCTGGTACACATTTATTCATGCCGCCAGAGGCGTTGCAAGAGACGGAATCTGGCCGAGCAAGGTACGATCTTTCGCTTGACGTCTTTTCGTTCGGAGTGACGGCAATGAGCGTGCTGAGCGGTGTGATGCCCTCCATTGAGCTCATGTTCGCAGCAAGATCGCGCCAGGCAGCTGACGGCAGCTTCGTTGCTATACCCGAGCTGGAGCGGCGACGCGCGGAGTTTGCTCGCATCCCTGACGGCCACCCGCTGAAGGACCTGCTGAGACGCTGTCTTGCTGACCCACCGGCCCGTCGACCAGATGCAGTGGAGATTCACGAATTCGTCCAGGGTGTTGTTCAGTTCTTGTCCTCATTGCCGCAGGTACGTGTGTGTTGAATTGTTAGAACTACAGTGTAGGTTAAAAGAGGATAAATACGAAATGACGTAAATGTTGTATTGTCGTGGCACGAGTCCCCAAGAATTATTAGAGCTTCATAGTGTTCAACTTCCTTTGCCTTGCCACCTGGACCTCGTCATTTACCTGTGTTGGAACTTCTCGATATACGGGGGAAGAGGGGGGGGGGGGGATGGGGTTGTGAGTAAATCTAGAGTTTCCCCCGGTCGTTGGTTCCAACATTATCTTGAAGCCTGCAGTCCACGAACATTGAGACAGCCATGTACATGTATGCACATGTCTTCTGTAAAATTTCCTAGGCGTGCGCAACACACTACGTGTGCGCTGCGTACTACGCGTGCGCTGCACTCTACGCGTGCGCTGCACTCTACGCGTGCGCTGCACTCTTCGCGTGCGCTGCACACTGCTAGTGCGCCGCACTCTAAGCGTGTGCTGCACTCTACACATGCTCTGCACCCTGCGCGTGCGCTGTACTCCACGTGCTGGCGCGCCCTGCACCCTACGAGTGCGCTGCACTCCCCGCGTGCGCTGCACTCCACGCGTGCGCTGCACACTACGAGTGCGCTGCACTCCACGTGCGCGCGCGCCCTGCACCCTACGAGTGCGCTGCACTCCACGCGTGCGCTGCACTCCACGCGTGCGCTTCACACTACGAGTGCGCTGCACTCTACGCGTGCGCTGCACACTATTAGTGCGCCGCACTCTAAGCGTGCGCTGCACTCTACACATGCTCTGCACTCTGCGCGTGCGCTGCACACTACGAGTGCGCTGCACTCCACGCGCGCGCGCGCGCCCTGCAACCTACGAGTGCGCTGCACTCCACGCGTGCGCTGCACTCCACGCGTGCGCTGCACTCCACGCGTGCGCTACACACTACGAGTGCGCTGCACGCTACGCGTGCGCTGCACTCTACGCGTGCACTGCGCACTATGAGTGCGCTGCACTCTACGCGTGCGCTGCACACTACACTGATTATATTGTAGATGAATGCATACGGGTATAAAATTATTCTCACACTAGAATTCTTAAAACTCGGATGTTCAGCCAATACAGTCGTATATAAGCAAAGAGAAATGGAAGGAGAATTTCCCTCCTTGGAACTCTCCGCATCTGAGCATTCAAAGTTGGAAGGTTGTTGGTTTGCGCTTGGTAGATATGTAAAAGCTAAGTGTTAGGTGGTTGAATGTTTCAATGTCCTTGTCAGTGTTGTCCCTTGTTGTGGCACTAAAATGAGTAAATTATCGTGTCCGTTCCCAAAGGGAACTCACGACAGCCGCTAACAAACTGTTAAACACTAGCGGCTGGTCACAAGTTCCCAGTTAACTGTGGTCAACAGTGGGTAGCAGCACGGCTGGAAAACCGCTCACAGGCACAACAAGGTGCCTCTTGTATCTCAACGTTGGTCTTTGACCAAACCACTGCGCGTGCCTGTTGTCGCACTATCAGACTGTATAATGTCTCGTCACCTTGGTGGACTGCTAATCATGACTCGTAGGTTACTGGTCCCTTTGACTCTAGACTTCATTTCAATGAAGTCTAAAAAGAATTTTATGGTTATCACGCAACAGCATCATAGAAAAAAGAGTTTTTTCAACTGATAATCCCTCTATTCAGTTGCTATTCACGATCTACGCATGCGCTGCAAATGAAAATTCTTTTATGGTTGATGTAAAGGTTATGACGTTTCGAGACAGTCACCCACCCCCTTGTAAATTATTCTGTTGATGGGTGACTGGCCCGAAACATCATATTTTTCACATCTACAATTACATCTGGCTTTGGAAATTTTATTTTCATTGCTATAAGGTTTGGCCTCATTACCTCTGTGCTGAGCTGATGAGCCTGCAAAGGACGAAACAGTTCTGTCCGCAGATTGAGTACATTTACAATTATTAATGAATATCCAATGCAGCAGAGAGAATCATGAATAGCAACTGGATAGTGCAGTTGTCAGTTGACAAACCACCTCTTCTATCACTCATTTTATTACCATCATTCAGTTGCAAGCATACGACGAGTGGATTAAATTAATGGGGGGGGGGGGGGGGTGTTCAGGGAGCAGGTGTTAATGATCAGTGTCGTGTACTGAACTGAACCACCGTCTTTTCTTATGTAGAGTAAGACTGGCTCAGTCGGATCAGTCAACAGGAAATCTAGACTTTCCCCAATAATAGAGATGCCTTAACAGCTTGGACAGTCCTTTACGGCACACAATAGCCCTTTTGTTACATTCATTGTGACAGCATTTTCTCAAGGTGTGCAAGATCCACAGCAGCCATTACATACCACAGTACAGTGTGACATTAAAGCCGAGACCTTTGGTCGGTGGAGCCCCTGGTACCTCACCATCACTGCTGCCCAGTGCAGCCCCTGCTCAGTAGCTGTTTGTTTTTGTCCACAGAATTATTTATTTTTACGAGTTGGGTTTATGTATATTAAAATCTCAGTTTATACGTAGTATTAACTGTAGTTAACACGCATGTAACGCTCTCTCAGCGCGTGCCCGCCTGCGTTTACTGCACATAGCACTCCATATTTACCAGTAGCGATGCCGCTACTTCACACTGCATTCCACATCTACCCGTAGCGCTGTCGTTGAGCTGCCCACGCACACCGCTGTGCATGTGACACGGGCACGGTTCGCGCCACGAGGGAGCGTGTTCCCCTCTAGCTCAGTCGGCAGCTGAACCTACCAGCGCATCTGACCTCATATGTGCATGCACTCGTGTTCTTTGTTCCTGTTGTTGCTTACCACTCTCACTTGCTGTTTGCTCCAACACTAGCTCTTTGCCAAATTTTCAAAAGTGTCGGTTTCCTGTACCTCCAGCGTTATCCATTCGAGACTATGGCCTCCCCTGCGTTCAGTAAACTCACTGTGCGGGACCTACGCCTCAACCTCGTGGAACGGGGACTTAGTCCCGCCGGCAAGAAAGCGGAGCTGCTTGCCCGGTTAATACAATCCGAAGTCGGACCCCACGCGTCCTCTGTGACTCCCGCCGAGGCTGCCCGACAAACTGTCGAGGAGAGGGAGACCCGCGAACCTACTATGCCTGTCGCCCCCGTGTCCGAACCTACTATGCCTGTCGCCTCCGTGTCCGAACCTATTATGCCTGTCGCCCCCGTGTCCGAACCTACTATGCCTGTCGCCTCCGTGTCCGAATCTACTATGCCTGTCGCCTCCGTGTCCGTGGCAATCGCGACAGCCCTGAAACCGTTTATGGACCGACTAGATCATTTGGAAGATGCAACACAAACAGCAACCTCAGCCCCAGGTACGTCCACTGCGCATTCGTCTAGTGTATCCTGCACCATGCTGCGTGACGACGGGCCTGTAAATATTTGGGCAAACGCACTCCAGACCGTAATCGACAAAATCATCACACACCAATTTGTTGATTTACAACAACTGTTGCCCCCGACCGCCACGGACGTGCCAAGCCCCCACGCTCTAGTGTTGGGCGAGGAGACACCCGGAAAATTCATGCTGTCCTCCCAGCCACGCATGTCTCGACGCATTTCGGACATCGAACATTGGCTAGAAGCATGTACGATATTCGCAGCCGTCTATCTGGATGCGCATCCGGGCAGAGCAGTAGAACTGTTCGTATCAGCACCATATTCTGAACTCCAGCAAGAAATTCACGTTTTCCGCAGTTGCGGAGTATGACCGAGCCTTCCGCCATCACGTCCCAGCCGTCACGCCGTTGGGACACAACACCACGAATACTGTCCACTACCGTGTTCGATGCCCGTGCCGTGCGGCCCTTTCGGTCCAGCTCCGCGGCAGCCCGCTCGTCCACCGAGCAGTGTCGCCTCTACAACCGGGGCGTGTGTCGCCGAAACCCCTGTCCGTACGTTCATCAATGCAGCACCTGCAACGTCTCCGGACACAGCGTACGAGATTGTCGCACAGGGCAACCGGCCAGCAGGCGTTCCGTTGCACCAACAATCGCCCTGGATGCCTGTTCCCTTCGATCGGCTTGAGTCGGCCCTGGCCAAGCACCCTGACCGCGCATTCGTTAACTCTCTTATGCATGACATGCGTGACGGTGCTGTAATCGGTTACTCCGGTGATCGCTCTCATTTTGTTGCTCCCAATTTAGTCTCTGCATTTAAGAACCCCCAAGCTGTCTCTAATTACCTGTCTAATGAATGCATCGAGGGTCGTATGGCCGGCCCGAAAACCCACTTACCTCACGCAAATCTGCGCTGCTCTGGTGTAGGCGTGGTCCCCAAAAAGTCGGGTAAACTTCGCTTAATTTTGCATTTATCTGCGCCTCAGGGCACTAGCATTAATGACGGTATAAGCCAAGGCGAATTTTCGCTGCACTATATAACTGTTGATGATGCGGTTTGGCTGCTGCACCGGCATGGTAAGGGGGCCCTGTTATCCAAAGTCGACCTACGCAATGCATTCCGAGTATGTCCCGTGGCCCCGTCCGACTGGCCCTTGCTGGGCATTCACTGGGACAACGCATTCTACGTTGACAAATTCCTCCCCTTTGGCCTGCGGTCCTCACCATTTCTGTTCAACATGCTCGCCGACGCCCTTTGCTGGGTAGCCACGAATAGATTCAATGTGCATGACCTGCTCCACTTCCTTCGATGATTTCCTCACAGTTCAACCCCCACAGCCGCCAAACTATGCCCGTCGGCAGTTTCACACGTTACTCGCAGTCATGGAGCACGTGCAAGTTCCGTTAGCCAAGGGCCCTGACACGGTGTGCCCACAGTCCACAATTGTCACATTTTTGGGCATAGAGTTATATTCCCAAGCATGGGAGATGCGGCTGCCAGCCCCAAAGCTATTGGAACTAAAGAGCACCCTTGACTCCAGGGTACACCGAGTACAGTGCACCAAACGGGAATTGCTCTCGTTGGCAGGCTCTTTGTCATTTGACGCCAAAGTAGTACCGCCCGTGCGCACTTACTGCCGCCGGCTCTTCGACGAGGCCAGCCAGTTCAC